TTTATTAGTAATTGTATTTATCCGATAAATTTTGCGACTTTGTAAAGAGGGTTGCTTCAAATAAAATACAAAATATTCAGGATACGGATATGTCTGTTGTTTGTTTTCCACCAAACAAAGTCTGATATATGTCTTAAACTGCTCTGACATTTTCAAGGAATTATCCTTAATAGTTTAAAAAATATTGCGAAAGGGCTACTGGTTGCGTTAACAAATTTGTTAAGTGTTTACGATTTCATTGATGAATATTTGTTTTTGAACATTTGTTTTGAACGATAAACAATTACGCTTTTGCCTGCATGGTAATACCCGCCCACATCATGACTGAGACCCCTAAAAACAAAACAAAAAAAAACAAAACAAAACGGGGTCGTGGTAAACAATGCATACGGGTGCAAAACGCTCATTGGACTATCGTTCATACCTTGGACGTTCATCTGACATGAGCGCGCGCCCATTGGAGGCGAGGCTGTATGTCGTTTCGCGTTAAAATAGTGCAAATTGCTGGTCCTCATGTCAACTTTATTAATATCTCTGATTAGACATTCTTACGCCAGTGGCATTCTGGAGTTATTTTGCAGGGCAGTTGTTCAACAAAGTGCCGACGTCGCGCTCGGACGATAATAAAAGTCTTGACGCATAGTTTCGAACCTTTCAAGACCACCACCATGCCTATGCATAACATTTTTGTGAGTTTGAAACCGTTCCCACCTTCTTGCGACGGTGCTCTTGGACATCCCAAGGACCGCCCAGTATGATGAATCCCTATCCCCCTATTCATCTCTCGGCGACAATACGCCGACTTACTCGTAAGTAAGTCATACCCAAACATAGCTTTGAAATATAAGTTACCATGCACAAACAATTTTTGATGTTTACTTTTAGGTATATACCGATGGCGCACGCTTTTATTGAGTAACATTTTTTCCCATGGATCAAGCCCGATACAGGTTTGAAATTCTTATCTACTGGAAAGGCCAGGTACGAATAATCTATAGTTTCACTTATCTTTGGTTATCATGAAAGAGGTTTGAAAGAAATAAAAAAACGATCCCTATTTCATTTTGAGTTGCATGTATTTCATGCAAAGGCACAGCAAGGCAAATGTTAGTTTTTATTAAAATACACTTAATTTTCAAACATAAAACGATGCGTTCTATACTTGATAATTTAATACGACGTTGCATGTTACTTTTATATGACAGATTAGATGTGAACCTTTGTTGAAGTAAACCCTAATTTTACTGGTAAAAGTTGAGCTTCGGTAAACATGAAAGAATTCAATCTTTTCTTGAAATTCAGCAGCAGAATAAAACAGTGTAACTAACGATTACTTTCGTATCCAGATATGTCCAAAACCCACAAACAAACTTAATTAAATTGAAAACGGCATGCAACCATTGCCATATCGTGACCATTTTTTTACAAATTTGAATCTGAAAATTATTGGTATTTCAGCTTGAAATTGAGTTTGCAAGCAATAAAATTCCGTACATAATTTATTTACTTTAAAATAACTGTTACAATATATTGAGATGGAATGAAAGATATGTGGGCTTTAATGTTGTATTTATCTAGTAATTGGGTATTTTTTTCTTTTTATTCGAATCTATTTAAACATGTGAGAATGAAATTAATTAAATTGTTGTTTATATGATAAGGTCATAATATTGAAAATGAACCATATAAGTTCTTTTAAAATGCTGCTCACTGAGAATAATATTAATGTACATTTGTAATTGCATTGTTATAAATTCAATAAAGCAGCATAACCATAACAACTGGCATTTTCTAATTCAAATACAAACTGCTTTGTTAAGAAGCGTAAGCTTAAAGGCACATCTTTAAAAAAAATCCTAAGAGAGAAATGACAAACATTTGTTTAATACTGTTTTATTAATAGTTTAAGTCAAATTTAGAGCATGTTAGATGTTTAACAATTGAAAGTAGTGTTTTGACTTCTTTACAAATACTTAATTACTATAATCATACCAGTTTCCAACAGAGCTGAAGAAACAAAAGATACTTTATGAATATGGCAAAAAGTATGCTTTTGGAAACTGTGCAAAGATAAAAAAAAATCAGTTTTTAGAAATTAAAAGTGAAAGCATTTCTGAGGCATAATTTGTTTCCGGTTCCCATTATGATGTCAGCGTTGCAAGTAAATTGATTTTTAATAATCATGTTTACATCAAAAATCAAAATGAACCTTATGTGATTGCAATACATGAAATCTGTGAAGAAACATTTTGTTATGCATAACATATAAATTGAAACAACTTTCATATTCAGATTATTATACTTTTGTGTTACATAAGGCTTCTTTAATTGGTGTGGTTTCAGTTTTACACCACAGATTACATTAAACATATTTGAATTAATTATATGAAACCTTTCAAGTGTAAAAATGTCTGAAATATTTCCGTTATACATTGTAAGTAGATGTAAACTTAATTTAAACTGATTCATTGATAACTTTTGAAATCTTAGACAAAAGCAAACTCAATTTAAACTATTTGCTAAACTTAAACAGTCTTGTACCAGGATAAGTAAAAGGGGTTAACGGTTTATGTTTTATCGACAGGTTTCGATGTTAATTTATTTTTGTTTCACATGGATTAGCACTTTACATAGTGATTTACATCGCTTATCTTTAAAAACTCTTGAAACAAGTTTTAAAAAGGCACACTGGAGACTTGACAATTATTAAATGCAAGGTGCCGAATGAATATATATACAAATGCCTTATTTATACAAGTAATGCAGTTTTTATAATGTATTTATTGGAAAACAACTTTACACATGACCAGTGTCATTTCCTTAGTTAAACAGAGAATAAAGAAGTCCATTAAACAATTAATAATCATTAATGAAAAGTAACTAAGTTACACATATCATTTAATAATGTATTATTTTAATAATAATTGGTAACAATATAACAACTAATTTTTATAGTAAAATGCGTCTACGTTAAGTAAAAGTAAACATGTTCCATCAAATGGTAAGTGTCATTTATATGCAGTATCACGAAGCTGTCGTCGTTTCGTTCTGCAGTGATATATGAATTAATGAACATATGCAAAGTATGTTACATTATTATTTTGTTTGCTTTCTTAACTTTTCACATTTTAACTTGAAAACGTCTTGAATTATATCGATTCTTTGACGCCATTTTGTCACAATATCGATGCTTGCTGCAGCTATTTTGGATGGAATTAAATATCACTTTTGAAGATCTTGAATCATGATTTGAACATATTAATTAGTGCAAGACTACTAAAATTCTAAAAATCATATTATGTTTCTCCATTTGTTATTGATATTTTCATTTTCAAAATAAACATTTAATCTTTGTCAGAAACATATAAATGCTACAATTTTCGAATGCAACTCAAACAAAATTTATTATACCGACTGAGTTGGGCCTAACAATGGAAGAAAAATACAACCAAAACACAAATTTAATATTAATGATGTTTTCACTGTTGCTGACATGTAACGCGTTTCTATGTACATTCCTTTGTATTTTTGCTTTGATCTTCGGTTTAATTACAAATAATCACGTCGCTTCATTTAATTGCTATAGACATGCACAGAGGACGAAAGCTTTAACAAGCTCATGTGTTTTATCTTTTCATTGCAATAGAATCAGTTATCACAAAGCCAATCTGCAAAGCATTGATTGACTTTATACATATTAAAAAAATGCAGAAAAAAAGAAGCAAAACGGAAAGCAAATAATCTTCATAGCAATCTGTTTACTTGATACGTTCATTAATTTGCTTTGCTTAGCAATACGAAATGCTAAATGAAAGAGAATGTTTGCTAACCCTTTTTTCGGATTTTAATCAATATTTTGGGAAAGGATGAACGAGAAACTATAATAACAGTATTAAAGTCTAACGAGAAGTCAAAAACGATGTACAGTTCCTACTTAGGCCAAGCAAAAAGAGTCAGTCCAATCAAATGAATTCCTCATATCAAATATGAAATATAAACTATTTAGCAATTATTTTCGCGATAGAATTTACAAACGTATAATTGGAAATCAAATATCAATCGAAATGAATACTTAATCAACTTACCAAGGTTGAGCATAAGTACATCATAGACATGTTGAAACTCACTAATACAAAATGTTTTGTTTCTGTTTTACCGTACACTGAAGTTTACATTGAAATGAACATAAAGTTAAATGAAAATTGTAAAGTTGGAACTTTTGCTTAAATTTGAATCTTTATATTACTGTAACAATCATTGCTTTAATGTACAATAAATATACACTAAAATGTGGATACTGTATAACTCTGTTAATATGATTATAAACTGAGTTTTTGGGGTTTTTTGTCAATAACATTCTGCAAAATAAAATTCTATGTGATTCATGCGCTCATTTTGTTTGTTTGTTTCATTTTACGCCTTTTCCCAACAGTATTTCAGTCATATAGTCGGGTAGTTTCCCAACCATCGTTCCTGGAGTGTTACATCAGTACTAGACTAACTTCCTTCGCGCTAAACTACCAAAGCATCTCCCGGGGATCGAACCTCCGCCAGAGAGGTAAGTGGATTAGAAGTCATCGACTCTAACCCCTCGACCACGGAGGTGTCACTTTGTTATTAACCCGATATGTGTTGATGAATAATAAGTCACACCACGTTATCTAGGAATACTTTTTAATTTTCAGTATGACACCAAACAGTCGATATGATATTTTTCATGTACACTAATGGAGCTTATGTTTGATCAAAGCAGCAATTATCAGCCAATTGTATATGTTTTACTTTTCTTAATCACTGTTTTAAATTGATATACACTCTATCACAGCCCATTATTGCCAAGAAAATAGATGAGGTAAGTATAAACAGGCTATTGTATTTCGACTGATTTTCTAGAAAAGCCTATATTTAGTGTCAATATATTTATAGAATATGGCTAAGCTGAAGAATAAACATTTGCAAAGAGTTCGATTAGTGTTCAACTATTGGCAATTTAAGAAGTATTGGAATGTTGCGAGGGGAATGATGTATCGGAACGCACAGTCATACAACGAGATGATCAGTAAAGGGAGAACTTAACATTATCACATGCAGGAAAACGATCAATAGTGCCTGCATTTCAAAGGCGAGGTTGAGCTTTATTGCTGGATATCAGCTTCGAAACGCAAACCAATTGTTCTATTGACAATAATACTTGCAGCGGATTACAGGTGTCTAGATCTACCCGGCCAGATTTACGGGTACGTTATTGGATTAACCTGCGTCTACTGTTATTTCAAGGAGCAAGCAAAGTTTTTTCTATTTTTGAATCAACTTTAATCTTTTATCTGGCAATAAAATACTATTGTAAATGTATTAAACAACGTGCCGGAGATTATTATTTTATTCCCACAAAGGATGTATGAATAATCTGTCTAATTGTGTTTCCAGACAGGATTAAAATCATTTCATTGATTTCATGTACGTGTCGACAATCTGAACTTTCTTCCGCACACTAGACTATACTCGGTAACTTCAATATATACGGATTCCATCAGACGTTACGAGCTACTTGACAAAATTGTCTGATAAACGTTTGACTGCTATTTGTACAAAACACCATACAATTTATAATATGGAAATCGTCTTTAAGAAGCACTTACTTCTGATAGGAGCTGTTTTTCTTACAACAGATGTTACGTGTGTGTACCATAGACACCATAATCACAATTTACAAAAGAACCATGACGGTAGGAATATTTAACATTCCGATATTTCAAGCATAAGTTAAGAATGATACTGAAGTCTGACTCAATCAAACATAGCCTGCAGCATTTTAATTTTACCGTTTTGGACTTTCTTTAGGGATTTTTATTATCTCTATTTTCTCAATATATTACAGTTGTGTGTTTCTGTTTTATTCAGTTTTCTGGAGTTTTTATTATTTGTTTTCAATGTTTGGTAATGAAATAGATAATTGAACATACAGCTTGGTTTTTATTAATTTCCATGAATTTTGATAATTAAATTTTCATTTGTCTAATATTTTAAATTATTTGAATTCGGTAATGGAATAAAAACTGTATTCTTTGTTTATTGTTTAAGATGGTCGTTCTTTAATTTCAGAACCGATTGTTCCAGAGCCTATGATTCAAATTGAAAGTAATGACAAAGATGTGATTGATTTAGATGATAATACTTTCGATGTTGCCTTAGAACATTACCCACAACCAGTTGACAAGAATGGAGAAGATATGCGTGAGGTTCATATCGGTGGTGAAACTGTCAGTGAAGTTCAAGAAGAGATGAAGTTACAAATCAATGAAGGCGACACAGTAACTCCGATAGCCTTGACATCAGAAATACTGCACGGTAAAGGAATAATTTCTGTAACGACGGAGAATGCAACTGATGACGAAGATATGACTAGTGGTTCCGGATCTGGAGATTTTATGATAGAAGATGCCACTGGAAAATTTGTTAATACAACCGAACATTCATCCGGTAAGTGAGCCTTATAATAATCATGATTTAAATCATGCCAAATATCTTTTACCCTTAGCTTTTTGCATTAAACCATACATATACATTATACATTTGTTACATCATCTTCTTACAATTAAGGTAACTATGACGATGCTATATCTCTTGGTAAATGGCGTAATGCGTAACCATTGAGTTCAGAAAATTTACATATTTGTCGGCGTAAATGCTTATACTGTCCTGAATTTAAACTTGTGTTGCCCCTGATATTGAGGAAAATCTATCAGTAATATGACAACTGGGATATTTGCAAATCAAGATTATAAGAGAAAGCCATTTTATTGCCATATAATGCCTATATTTTGTCTGGAACTATTCCCAGCGGAAAAATCAACAATCTTCGCACATATTAAATATTGCTTTCCCAATATAATCACATTGTGGTCACACTTTTTAATGTTCGTTCAACATAAGAAATGAGTTGTTATATTCAGTATTTGCATGTCAATGATTACATTCTTATAATTGTCTTTGGTGGTGTAAAATTGACTGTAAGGCGTATGTTTTGAAAAAGGCGCATGTTATGATGATTACCGTGTAGGATAACACTTCGAATATTGTAAATTTCTGTGATATTTAACGGGTTTGGCAATCGTCGGCTCACTAAATCCAAAAACAGTTTTAAAAATCTATTTTTCCTTATGACGATCTACATCGTTACCAATTTACATGCAAAATTACGAGTTAATATAGTGATATTTGAATATAACACATTCTTTTAAACGTGGTTTCAAAATAGTACTAAATCTAGCAAGGGTAACATTATGTTATACAAACTTAGTTTATCTGTTTTAATTTTATTTAATAAAGTTAATCACACCTAAATCAGATGCTTTACATTATCTTTTCATCGTTACAAAGTACTAATGCATTTGTTGATGGCTGTTCTCTAAATTGAGACTCCTTAAACCATTACTAAAGTTAAAACCTATTTACGCCATATGACGAAATTTTGCAACAGTTTTGGTAATTGCATTTTAGACAAAATCAGGTTAAATATATTTTTTTCTGTAATGTTTTTGTTGTGTGGGGTGTATTTCTTTTTAATATGTTTTCTTTGCAAAATTTATATAATTTCCCTTGATACACAAATGTAAAGATCATTTTCGTTCCTTCTCTTTGCAATGATTTGAAATCACGAGTGTGACATGAATTGTTCATAGCAATTCAGTAAAAAATATTTAGAGTGTCCACATTTCTTTGTTCTCTCATTTTATGCTTAAATAAGAACATGATCGATTGAGCTTTTTGGCAAGAGAACCGAGGCAATTTCGACTTGAACCGAGACAAATTACGACACAAAATCAATTAAATAATGCATTATTGAGACGAGAAATGTTTCAAAAAGCCAGTGAAAGATTGATTCATGAAACAAAGACTTGCTGTTTGAATAGAAACCTTTGTACTCCATGCTTTTGAGTATCTTTTGAATTGAATCGTTTATTATTTTCTCTGTAAATTACATGAAATTCAAGAAGTTCAAAATGATAACATTGGATTAATCGTGTTTGTCTATCTGGCGGAAAAGTTCCACACAATATTAAAATTCTATCCTCATAGGTGTGTTTTTTACATAAAAGGCACTTATCTTAAATGTAATGATATTTAAAGACTTATAGTTATATTTGTAGGGTTTTCTGTTTACAAATTGTGGTACTAATATAATTTATAAATAGTTTTCTGTGGTCATATGGAATATACTGTTTTAGTTAAAAAATTCCGGTAGTCCCTACATTTTTAACATTTTAATTGAGCAAATCGAAAATCATTCCGAGTAAAAACCGTAAATTTACATACTGGTATAAAATAGTCTCCATTGCGAGTTAAAAGAACGGTCACACTTATATCTAAATACATATTTATTAGCCATAACTATTTAGAAAGGTGATTTTGCTTTTTATCAATTTAAATGCACCCAATACACAAGCTTCAAAGACTTTTTATTGTGAAGTATTACCAATAGATATTGTGTCTGAATGATTCGGCTAACATGGACATCAAATTATTACTATGAACTAGACTTTACGGAGGTTATCATTTCCTTAATAATTTGCTAAGGGATATATTGCATGTACTATGTAATTAACAAAAAAGTCCCAGAGGTAGATTAAATAAAGAAATGACACTTTTAGCCTGAGACCAGCTTATTCTCTTTAGAGGTTCAGACAGTATCTTATGGTTTGGATCGAGTAATTTCGAAGCAATTATCTGGAGATATACTTTTGATCAATCTTACATATGAATAAGATAAGACAGTGTTTTGAGGACAAAAATGATCAACATTTGACTTATTTGAAAAAGTATTCAACTCAATATTTTGATAGGTGTCAATTGTAAGGTTGCAAAAATACGTCTATTATTTACAATAGCATTTTATGAATCTACAAAAAGTACAAAAAATTTGGAAGAATTCTTATTGTGGAAAGTGATATAGAGATCGTGCTAGAAACGTTTCACAATACTAGTAATGAATATCTTACAGCTTTTGTTTTTGTTAAATATCGCTTTAAGAAAAAAAAACAAATCCTTAACCTTTTGAAACGAAGTAAGAAGCATGCACTACCATAGCATGGTCACCTTGTAGTAGACTAAACAACAAGTTTAGAATAGAACAGATACATGCTACGCTCTTTTTTAAAGCAACTGTTAAACACTTCATAATATTCAATTTAAGCTACTTGCAAGCAATAGAATATAATTGTATACCAGAGAAATATTTAGTTTTTTCTTAATTATAGTTTTGCGAGCATTTCACGAACAACATATGTATGATTGTTCTTAAGCCAATGATTATTATCATCAACACTTTCATGTCATTTAGTTGTTAATAATGCAGTATGTGTACATGAAAATGCTATTAGGAAGCATTTATCTGCTATACCCCGTGACATCTGTGAAGTTTATCTAAGAAAAGTTCTCAAGAACATCGTTTGTTCTCAAATATTTTATGTAGGAAAGGGGAAATAGTTTTACGACTTTTCGAAGAATGAAAAATTATGTTATGTACTAAATATGTTCTTTTACACCTTGATGACAGCAAGGCCAAGCCTGAAGGACATATTTTAAAACTAGTTTTAAAGAATTATGATTCGTCAATTAATTTTTGTCATGATAAGCAAATCAGTTGTTTTTTTATATCAAACATCGTACATTAACATAGCATTATGTGTTGCTGCTTTCAAATGAAATAAGATTAAGAAATACAGTCAAATGTTCCAATGAAAAGGTTCATAATGACGTTGAGATGAACATAACTATTTCTGTTTGTTTTGGTCGAAATTAATTGAATTCTAGAATGTTATTATCATGTCAAAATATTTACAGTAATACATCAACAGATATTTCTAGATCTCAATATGAGTTAATCAAAGTACAAAATTACTTTTATATGAATGAAAGGTTCTACTAACTCAGTTCGTAAAACAATGGTTGATTTTATTTTAATTATAAAAATGATGGACCATTGACAATATTGTAACACTGAAACCATTTTAATTTTAAATTAATTGGCGGTTTCTCAGACTGAAGTCTCATTATGATTGTGCTTTGCCTTGATAAAGTTAAAAGAAATTAGCGCGTCTTCTTTCCAGCTAATTTAACTGATGGATGTATTGGTAAACGTTGAAAGCATCGTTCGGTTTTGTCACATTTAACGAGCCAACACACATTTATCACATTGCTCATCGTTGTGACACAGCATCACTCTTCATTGCTGACACCTAATAATTCACTCAATCTATGTTGTAAAGTTTTCAATTTATCTCTGTTTTAGAATGAAAAATCGGAAAGAAGCCATTATGTTATGTTTATTATTCTTGAATCGAAATGTTTCTGAGAACTTAAATTCTTCGTGTTTTTAGAGAAAATTAAAAAGGCTAATGCACTGACTGTTCTGCGGACAATGCAGACCATTTAAGACGAGATTATGTCTGCATTAGTCTTATCGATAGGACTTGTAGCTGCCACACGCTAAAAATTATTTAATTCTGAGACGAAAGGGCGCCTCAGAAAAAAACTATTTACTTTCTAGTTACTTTCATGACATGACATAATTAAACGTCAGCAATGCTAATAAAACGGCCATGTTCGTTTTTTTTAAATGATATTTATTTTGACATCAAGTCCCGTATCGTTAGAAAATTGTATTGCTTATTAATGTTCAGAAATTATGGAATGTAATCTTAATAACGATACAATATACCGCGTCAGCAAGAATTAGTTCCTTGTATCAAGAGTTTTTTTTAGCGAATAGATTAAAATACAAAGATCTGATTGTTTACCATCGTCCGCCATTTTGAAGAGCATTTGATTAAGAAAAAATAGTCATTTAGTTCTATTTTAGACACAATACCCGAGAGCGTACTTTTTGGAATTTGAAAATCCTTTGCTATTTCAGTCTTAGTTGTACTCCCTATCTAAATTTCTCATAAAATATAATATTTTGTTTCTAAACACTTTTCGTTTTCTTTCCATGATTGAGAATAAAACAAGATTTTCGATTTTCCTTCCTTTTATATTGAATGTCTTCTTTTATATTTTAAGGGTGACTTTTACTAATGAAAGATATAGATTTTTTCCATTTAAATAAAGCGTACTTTGCAGTTTGTAATGGATCATGCTTGCAAGCATGCGTAATTATGTTGAAAACCGATTATGAATTATCATAATTAGTTTACTCGAGCAAAACTTTTGAAGAAAAGAAATAATAAATAAAAGGAATAACCGTTTTATCTTTGTGAAAAGAGCTCATGCTAAAAATATCCTAAATAGAAAACTATACAAATTCATTTAAATAGATGTATTTAAGTACTTACAACAATAAACGGTACATTCGGCCGAGTTTTAATCCGTGCCAATGAAAACGAATGTTAAAAATGCAGGATCTATTTACGGTAAGCCAATATTTTAAAATTCGTTATAAAAGTGTAATTTTCTGTACTTTTAACTAAATTGGGACTAGG